GTTCACAGTTTTAGTATTGTTCAAGTGTCAAATTGTAATAACGTATCCAGTAAAGTTCTTGTCGTTTTTGTGAATAAATTGATTTAAAGTCCCCACAAGTGTTTCAATACGTAAAGTTCGTTCGTGTGTGTTTGTGAGTATTTCCCGATTTCGGTTCGTATATATTTTATTGTTACATTTTATATTTTTTTAATAACACTGTTCTGCTGTATTAAATTTTTATTTCCTTTAATATAATTTTTATGAATGCATATTCTTTTGGCAATTATCCCACTAGCGCGCCTCTGGCTCAGTATTTATCCGTCGATAACAATGGACAAATCCCTTAAAACAGGGTGATACCTACCTGCTCTTTATGAAACGACATAATTTTGCAATGCGGACTAGGGAAGTGACAGAATTTATTGACGGATCACCCTGTAGCGCTTTTGAATACTTAATGAGATTTTATTACTCTACACTCTTTTGAAATAGACTATAGACACTGAACATAATAATATCATGCCTTTTAAATATTTACATTTTTACAAACTCCTGACTGGCAAATTTTGATTTGTATTCAGCTAACAAAATTTCATGTACAAGAAAAAAATCAAAAATTTCATGTGAACCATATAACAAAAATTTACTGATTGTTCAAAGTGATAATATTAGAAATGATAATGACTTGACGGTTCTACAAAAGATTATTTCAATTATCTACTGAGGGTACTAAAGTATGAACTTACGATTGTCATCCTGTAAACTTTCTAGTTTAACTTCTTCCAGAGGAATGATATGCTGTTTATTGTATTTTTTCTTATTGATGATAATATTGCCATATACTAAAATATCATTAAATAAGAAAAATTGCCTTGTTTTAGGTTTTTTCCTACACATTTTGGTCAAAACTCCTTCACCAACTAAGACTCGTCCAGGAACACCCAAAGGCTGAAATAATAAAAAATACATGTATGCAGTGGCTAAAGAATAAAATAGGAAGTTTCTTCATATTCTGAGACATGTTTTCATTTGAATAATCAGTTCCCAGGTGCAGAATTTGTTTGTGTAGCTAGAGTCTAAACATATAAATAATAATATACAGTCCGTTTCTTTAGCTGATCCCAGTATGGGTATCTCGGAACCAGTACGACCTACAACTTCCGTTGAATTAGACAAGTTTCCTATTTTGAGAAACTAGAATAATCTCTTTTANTTACTTCTAGAGGAAATTGTAAGTCAATTTCAAAGACATTTAGAGAATGATGATTCATCCAAAAGTACTGCACTAATGAATTTAAAAAAGACATTTCCACTAGCAAGTTATGAGAAGTGAAAAGTACTGAGAATAAAATTAAATAGAGCGTAAACTTATAACTAGCAACAAATTAAATGGCCTTAAAAGGAAGTTGGGGCATATCTGGAAAGTTGTTCTACTAATAAATATACTCAAATATATTGTTTTTTTTCTTTAAAAGGTTTATAAGACCACAAAATATACCTAATTTGTCCACCATTTCTCCTTCAATATTTTTATGCACCAAATCAAAAATAATAAAAAAGAGAAAATACTTGAAAACACCTACTAGAAAATTTATGTCAACGTCAAAAAAATAAAATGGCAGAGAACCATGGAGAATGGAGAACATTTGACAGGCTTCAAAACAAAAATTAACACTAGGTGTGTTCTCAGAGTAATAAAAAATATAGGTGTGTTTTGTTCGCACTAATATTATTCTGGAACATTGAATTCCGTCAAGTTAAGCCCATATTCTCTGTATATCATGCAAAAAAAGCTTTACTAATCTCAGCTGATAAATCAAAGTCAGCTTAAATGTTTATGTTAGGCACCGTTATTATTTGAGCCAAACTTTCTAAGGATCTATTTTATTGGTTCGGTTTAACCTACGATTGGAGTTGAGAATATGGATTTGACAAATGGGCCGTTTTATAGAGTATCGATCAAAGAGAATTTTTGGATTCTCTGACGCCTGAGGTTAACGTAAACGTAGTTGAACTTAAAATTGGTCGGACATGCTTATTATCCAAAAGGAGATATTAATATATATTCTGCCACGGAAATTGATGGGAGAGATTAATGTTAGCAAAGTTCATTTATGTTGTAGACATACTGCAGCAATTTGCTAACCTTTCAGTGGAAAATAATGGAAAATTTCACATTTTCACATGTTTATGTACATTTTTACATTCAGTGGTAGAAAGAACCATACACATTTTTTGAAATCCTTTTCTTTCAAAAAAACATATTTTGCCACAAATATTCTGATACGTTGCTAATGAGGTATGTACTTTGTACTTTTCCATGCACCGGATAAACAAATTACTACCGATGTAGGTAAGATAAACAAATGCCTAAAATTTTCTAATATGTTGTTATGACAGAGGTATAATCATGTTATAAGTCAACAAGTTTTATCAGGCACTAAAGCTTAAGGATCAATATTAAGTTGATGTGTAAAAATGGTATAAATTTCAAATATTCAAATAGTTTCTTCCAGTCTTTTGATGATTGGACTGTGTTTAATTGTTTCATTTGTGTATTTTCATAAGTTATTTTCATGATTTTGTTGATATATTCAAGGAACTTCTGTCAGATGAGGAAGAAACCATTATGAATTTAGTGATAGTTCCAGAAAGGCCTCGAATATTTAGGAAGAGAGGGATGATGCGGAATTCATTACATGTTTCAGAGTTTCTAAACAATTTGTGGAAATACTGATACATGGAGATGTTCCACTTCGCCATGATCTTGAAAAAAATAAAACAAACGTTTTCAATGATTTCATCCTTGTTTTCAGGTAAACCAAACTTATCTTTCCTAGTCCAATTCTAAAAATCTCCATATTGCATTAGATGCCAAAATAAACCTCAAATTGGCCATATTTCAAGCATTTCTGGATTGACAATTTTGATATTTGTCATATAATATTAACTTATGATACACTGTTTGAGACTCCAACGGTCCTCCCTGTANATGATCACTTGGTGATCGAAACACGTGTCGAGGTGTTAAAAATAACGATTTGGTGTTGGGAAAAAACTCCAGTAATTTTCATATAATATTAAGGAAAAGGCATAGTTGTAATTGAACAATTTTAAATTTTACCGAAATGTTTTGGTAATTTAACATTTATGTCTAGCACTTGTGAAGTAGATATTGTTCATCCAATGACAATGAATATTTCAGCCAAAAGCAATAAACGCATTGGTAATTGGCATTGTTGCGCATTGCATTGTACTGCAATGACAGTGTAAATAATAGTGAATTAATACTTGCAGGTTTTCATTATCATAGGATGAATTCATCAACTTCAGATACACCAGATGTAGATTCTATATGAGCAAAATACTAAATAATTTTATTGAACGAAGAAAATTTTAAAGTTTTTCAATTACCTACTATCACAGTAATAATACACGCCTCGTTCTTAATGTTATACGATTAATATTCAGTGTTGCCAATATTGAAACGCCAGAAACTGACTGAAACAAATGTATTGTAATAGTAATTAAAGAAAATCGTCCCGTGTAAATCTTTTAAAAGTTAACTCAATATTATTTGTATTATTACTACAATACAGTACACAATAAGACCAAGTCATAGGTAACGTATTTATTGTTGTTAGTTGAAGTAGCTACTCATCGTTATAGGATGAACAATATCATCTTCACATGCTTCAGTTATATGTATTATGTAACCAAAACTCTAAATAATTTCATTAAACACAATAAAATGTATTCATTACAATTACAGTAAAAGGGGAGTACCGAATTGCCGTATAATGAACTATGTTATTATTTAAATGTTTTTTTATGGGAAAGGAAGTTTTTAGCCGTCTACATCTCCATCTTGATACAACAAATGTGGGAGTCTTCCAAAGTGAACCTTGAAATGTACAACTTTGTTTTTTCATCTAGCGGTGACATGTAATTTGTGGTGAATCTCAGGTAATGACCAGCAATGACCAGAACAGTATTGTGAATATTAACAAAAAAATCAATATCTAGACAATGAAATTCCAAATCACTCAAACAATTATTACATTTTGAAGTGTTATTTTTAAATGTGTCAATATAGTTTTTCTGCTTTAATAAATAAATGGAAATGTTGTTATCGATTAGTTTATATCACGACACAGTACCTAGTATTAATAATAATTGAGACATTGAGCTGCATCTTATACTACTAAAAAGGGACAATGAAATAAATATCATTCAGATTATAAATAAATATATATTCATCCATTGTACAGGTACAAATAAATATATTTTGGCACTAGGGTTTCACAACATGAATCTGCAAACCACAGTTAAATCAAGCCTTTACAGAAGTAATTTTTTTATTGATTCAATGGATATCTGAAGCAACCACTGAGACAGGTACTATTTCTAAATCTAAGATCAAATTTCCACAGTTGCATAATTAGCCCATGAAAACTAAGGGATATGGACTCGATTCTGGTTCAATGTTCGTTGATATGCGTCTTGGCGTCATTGGTCTTGGATCATCTTCAGTACTTCTGAGGAGCCAATAAGTAGTTACAAAACCCTTCCCTTTCAGTTCCACTTCCCCCCTTAGTTCTAGGTGAAAAGTTCCGAATTTATCGAACATTTGTTTTGCAGCTTCGCTGACGTGTATCTTGAGAGCTGAAAATATATGATAAAATCTATAACAGAAAGATACATGCATAAAAATTATTGAATTCTAATAGTCACAAGAAGAGGGAGTATCGGAACACTTGAAATTTCATTACCTACACAGAACGATAAGTTTAAATATTAAAGATGAAAGTTTTTATTTGAAAATATTGTAATGAATCTGAAGCCGGCCCTGACCGATGTCCCGTCAGCAAACGCATGTCTCTTCGCGAAACAGCGCGAAACGTGTGGATGAATCCCGAAATCCCCAGAGAGAGATCCGGAGCGTTCGTTGACGATATAAAAAGGTCGCTCTCCTTCCCGAGGAGTAGTCTGTACTTAGAAAGTGAATCGTGCGTTTAAAGAAAGGAATCTAATTGTGAAGATAAATTAAGCGTTAGTTACTAAATGTTGTATATAAATTAGTTGTGATAGTGAAATATTGTTAAAAATAAATTTGATTAAGACAGTTAATTCTTTAATTCGTTACAATATCAAGGTCGTAGTACCGAAGAAGAATGTTATGAATGACGATTTTATCATCGAAGGAAAGTGTCCTTTATCGTGTTGATACGTAAGAAGGGCTTTAACTTAAGCTAATGCAATTTGAATTATCACTTATCAAGTCTTCATTGAAGTAAATAATACAAGCTTTCATATTTTGATACTAACGAAGTCCGGTACTCTCCATTCTGCTAGCAGTATTGACAGTGTCGCCAAAAAGACAATAGTGCGGCATTTTTTGTCCGACGATCCCTGCACAAACTGGTCCTGAATGGATGCCGATTCTCATCCTCAACTGATAGTCCGGATTATGTTGAATCGTGAAGGATTTCAGCGCATCCAGTATCGCCAGTGCCAATAGGCCTATTTCTTTGGCATGATTGTCGCCGTTTCGTTCTGGAAGACCAGATACCACCATGTATGCGTCACCTATTGTTTCTACCTGAAAATATTTTAATACTTAATTATTTATCCAGTGGTATTAAGCAGTGCCGGATTAAGCCAGCGCGGGTCCTTTAGCAATTCTGTCAAGAAGCCCTTGGTTTGCGATAGGTTCTCAAGTTAAGGATATTAAATAAAACAAAACTGCTACAAAGAAACTCTTCTGGATTTAATTTGGCCAAATTCAGAGATGACACATTCAATATCGACTTTCAACAGTCAACAGAAATTTTTATTCATACACAAAATTATCATAACCTAAATCATCGAAACGCAACACGAGTTTGCTCCAAAACGTGAATGGGCGCTTTCTAGGAAGTCGGCGGGTAGTTTTCAATGTTCACAATAGGGGTCGGAACAAATACTTTCTTAAAATTGAACTACCCCATATTAGGCACTACCCCCATATTAGGTGACTTTCCTCTAATATTGTTATTATTTATGAGCTAATATTTTTGAGAATTGTGAAATATCCATGAATAAACGGAAACA